AAGACTCTGACACAAATGTACACACACTTTCTCCGCTTTCAGATCCAGCAGAGCAGACGAAAATATGATGGAGAATACACACCAGATGTTTCCTGGGATAAAGATGCCATCCTTTCACTGGGGAAACTGGCATTTCAACAGCTGGAAAGAAACAACCTGATCTTCTATGATACAGATCTGGAAGCCTGTGGTATTGATGTCTATAAGGCATCAGTGTATTCAGGCATGTGTACCCAGATCTTTAAGGAGGAAACAGGGATCATTCTTGGTACCATGTACTGCTTTGTTCACTTGAGCATTCAAGAGTTTATTGCAGCCCTTTATGCACATCTGTTTCTAGACATCAACAAGAAAAGTGTGTTTGGTTATGACCCAACTATGACTGATTTTCTCAAGACTGCCATGGACAATGCACTTAAGAGTACCAATGGACACCAGGACCCTTTCCTTCACTTGCTTTTTGTTCTGCTACTCCAGCCCAAATCCCCAAAAAACATGATTGATTTGCTCAAGACTGCAGTGGACAAGGCACTCGAGAGTGACAATGGACACCTGGACCTTTTCCTTCGCTTCCTTCTTGGTCTGTCACTCCAGTCCAATCGGCTACTCTTACGAGGTCTGTTGACACAGCAAGATGACAATGACCAGAGCAAAAAGGAAATAGTTCAGTACATCAAGCAGAAATTAGAAGCTAATCTGTCTCCAGAGAGATCCATCAATCTGTTCTACTGTCTGAATGAACTGAACGATCAAACTCTGGTGAAAGATATTCAGACTCACCTTAGCAAAGGAAGTCTGTCATCTTCTGATCTTTCTCCTGCCCAGTGGTCTGCTTTGACCTTTGTGTTGTTGACATCAGAGGAGGAGCTGGAGGAGTTTGAGCTTCAGAAATTCAAGAAGTCAGACGAGTGTCTTGTTAGATTATTATCAGTCATCAAAACCTCCAAAAGAGCTCTGTAAGTCATTTAATTAAATTTATTTAGCAGCTTTTTAGATAACAGCAGCAGAAAAACAGTATAACATTTTTTTTATAAAACACTTTGTTCCATAGTTATTTTCGCTCCAATATGAAGTTATCTTAAACTTCCTATTTTAAGTCTAAGTCTATCAAGAACTTCTCAGTGTTCTAATCATTAACCTCCATATTCTCCACCTCAAGACACTAAAGACAGTGGAGTGCTTTCAAATGTGTAGCTCATTGTCAGTAAAGCTATAAACCTTAAAATGGTATTCCTGCTTGTTTGATGTAGCAAATGTATCACTTAATCAAAAATACTAATGATGTTGTAGGTACAATGCCAATGTAGCCATCCTCACAATATTTTTTACTGTTCAAGTAAGAGTAATAGTTTGAAAATACATTTAATATTTGTACTTAGCTCATACGCTGTGCTGTATTATACTGTTGGTATTCAATCTAATGTGATATATTTTCCTTGTAGCCTGAATGATTGTGACTTAACAGACAGAAGCTGTTCAGCTCTGGCTACAATTCTTGGATCAGATACCAATCTGAAAGAACTGAACATGAACAATAATAATCTGCAGGATTCAGGAGTGAAGCTGCTCTGCACTGGATTGGAGAATATAAAGTGTGAACTGGAGATACTGAGGTAAGTTGTGTGATAATAGACAAAAACTGATCTCAACCAAACTTAAAGATTGTGATTTAATTTTACATATTCTTTACAAAATGTTCATTCAATTCGTTAAATAGTTTCATAGTTTTAGTTTTAGTCTGCATACTCTGAAGCTCGTAATTTATTGTATACAAAAATTTTTATATACAGTGACTTCTACTGCAGCAAATGTAAATTTTCTATGGGGTATTTAGCGAAAGTTAATCAGGAAGTAGCGATTTTGTTCTCTTCAACTCACTGGATGGAAACGGTGCTTTATTCGCAAATGTTTAATGTGATATTCCAATTTTGCGCATAAGTTTAATTCATAAATTTGGATGGAAGCATAGCTATTGTGAGTGACTTTAAGATCACAGGAGATTCTCAGGTGAGTTGACATTTTAAAGGTCTCTGAGCCTTTTGTTTACCCATTCATTATAGAAGGTCACTTTAGGGATTAATATTGTTAAGGTAAATTCTACT